AATATCAAAGATCCGCCCCTGCGTCATATTAAGATTTAGGAAAAAGAGTTAGCCAGTTGTCATATTAAACCTATGAAAAATTATTTTTTTACTTTCTTAAAATAAACTTAGCTACCCCAAAATGTTGGCTCTAGTAATGCCAATGCTTCTATAAATGAACGAAATATAATTATTCAGTTTAGAGGTAGGTATATGTTTTGAAGTTTAAAAGTATTTAATAAAAGATTTAATAGTTGAACTAAAAAATATAAGAGATAAATATCCAATAATTTTAAATTAAGCTAGTTTGGTGGCAAACAATTTAAAATTTTTACCATATTTCTCAGATGAAAGAAAAAGATGAAAGAGAAAAAAAGTTTTTCATGACGATATTCCTCCAGAAACTATAATTCAACCTAATACAGAAATTACAGCAAAAAATTGTTTTAAGAGATATTATATTTATTTGTATAGTTGTTATAACCGATTTGACGCATCGTTTTGAAGCACATCAAAAAATTTGTAACCTGTTTTCTCCAATTTTATGCTGTATAAAATTATCATGTGCAGATCTGGAAATATACGTAAAAAATAAAAATTATAGAAATATATTCTAATGATTTATTGCCAACCATATTAGATGAATTATTACATTTAAAAAAAATACAAAAATCAGTTTTTCAAACCGACATCGAAATACCTTCACTAAAATTATTGAACGAAATTAATGCAAAGAAATTAGAAAGTATTTTCATAAATACTTCTGTTGCTCTAAGAATATTTTGTGCCAATCTTCGTTTCTTAAGCAGAGAGAGATTTTAGTAAGTTAAGAAATCAGCTTAAAACTTGGCAGAGGGCTTTAACGGGACAAGAACGACTTAATTCCTTTAGAATTTTATCAATTGAAAATCAACATGCAATAAAAATGTATTTCAATGATATTATACATGATTTTGCAAGAAAAAAGCAAGAAAAGAAAAATTCAAAAAAGTTAAAATTAACTAATATTTATTGGACGCTTATACTATTGGTCTATAATACACAGATATAATGTATAGATTTTTTATATATAATATTTTACATTATTTTTCAATATTTGTAATAAATTATAAATATTTTTTAACAATTTTATGATATTTATGCAGTGAATTTAATATACATTAAAAATATAATGGTATATACGTGTATTTAACTCATTTAAAAGTAATTTACATTTGCTACAATTTTAAAGAAATTTTCTGTTGATAAAGAAGCTTTAAAACTAATATTTAATTTATAATACTATAAACTTAAAATAAAATCAAATGGTAGGGATTGTGTATTATAACTGTTATAAATACAATTTATATTATGGGGGCCCAGATTTTTTTATATTACCGTGATCAAAAAGGTGATGTGGGAGGCCTGCACAGAAGGATAATTTAAATGAAGGTACGCGAAGGCGGAAAATTATAATAAAAAAAATGTATATTAAATGACACTCGACAGAGTAATAATAATAAATGAATAATAATTAGTTCGACGGAACGCAAATACTAAATCGCACAATCAAATATGGAAGTCGTGGACTAGAATATAAGTACAAAAGACAAAAAATAATGTACGTCAAATTTAAACGATCGGTGGCGAGGGACAGCCAAGCTCGATTGAGCGATCGATGTAACCGTCGACATTCGAACAGCCTGGTTTTACAAACTTTAAAATACACAAAGAACATGTATAAAATAATTCAACAAATATATAATAATAAAATACATATGTAGTAGGATCAAAAAGTTCCCAGAATTTATTTATAGGAAAAAAACTATTTTTCTTATCAAATATTTGATAATTGGAATTAAAAGTAGGCAATATTAGCTAACAGTAGGTTAATAACATTAGTCTCATGTGAGCCGTAATCGTGTCCATACGAAACTGAGTTTACGCATTTTTTCAAAATGTCACAATTTGAACAACACCACTCGTCTTTTGCAGTTCGGTAATTTTTGACGGATAAAAAAAATTTCTACAGTTCCATAACCCCCGTATTTGCCAGATATTGCTCCATATGACTTCTGGCTGTTTCCAAACCTAAAACTTGGACTCAAAGGTGAACGTTTTGCGATGATTGAAGACATTAAACTTAACACGATAGCGAATCTCAGTGCCATTCCAATAGAGAGATATCAAAGTTGTTTCCATCAGTTAAAAAGTCGTTGAAGTGTGTTTGTGCTAAAGGACGATATTTTAAAGGAGATTAAGTATATTTATATTTAAATTGTGTATATAAAAAAATAAAATGAAATTCCGGGAACTTTTTGATCCTACTACGTAAAAGGGAGTGACAGTTGGTAACATGTGATCATGTGATAGTGAGACTACGCACCGTATCCCCACATTACTACCCACCCCCCACCGGAAGCCGAAAAGCAAACTCGCTTTTTGGTAGCGTCGACTGCCTGAGCTGTGGTCGATGATCGGATCTTCGCGTTGAATGAAGGCTTGTTTGATGGAAATCCACGAAGTGGTATTAACGGTCGCGTTGAACTTTGAACGTTTACTCTCGACGCTCTAGAACTGCATGTAGGCCCTCGTACCGTGACTTGAGTGGCTGTTCGACTGCATCGACTAGGATGAACACATAATCGATGAAAATAGTCACCTGGGAGGCGTAGCACTGTACCATAGAGTAATGCGGCTGGACACTGTCCGATGTCGGGCTTCACCATATTTCGCAGCGCGAGCAGCACGATGGGTAGCGGTTGAGATCCAGTGCGGTAACTCGTGTGCAGTAAATGCAGTTTTCAACGTTTGATTGAAACGCAGACTCCCCCCCCCCCCCACAATATTTACTGCCACTACCACTACTCACCCCACCGGCACCGACGCAGTGTCCCCAGAAATATTAGCTGACCAATACTTAGAATTATATATTAAAAAGCGATTTCACACCTGTACATGTATAATTAATTAAAGAATGTCGATTAAAAATGTGTATTCTAGCTTGAGATAAGTATGACTGTAATTAAGAAAAATATAATACAAAAACCAAATCACCGGATGACAATAAATATGAATCAATTAACGTGAGATAGGTATGGGTATAATTAGGAATAATAAGAATTTAATGTACGTATTATTGGATAAATGTGGTTTACCGGCCAATGGAATTGCTTTACTCATTTTTTTGAGAATTTATCGAGTAATAATTATTATAAGATCCAATCACAATTGAAATCGAAATTAAATCAAAGTTTCCTTTAGTTTTCTATTAGTCACATGTCCGCCTCTACTCTCTTCGTGTTTTTGCAGTTCTACGAGTATACACGCTTTAGTGATAATCACTACGGGTTATTTTTATCTTTGTGTTATTGTTTTAAAATTTCAATATTTTTAAATTTGAACATTGTGATACAACTTACAATAGCAAAAATAGTTTAGTAAGACATTTTAAGGTCCCCTGTGGTATCAGTGGCGTGCACTGGGGGATAATGGGGGATATATCTCCCCCATGGGCTTTTTTTTTAATTTGTTTTAAAGTTTAAAAATGTATTTAAGAAATACGACGGGGCAGTCGCGGTTAAATGGATTAGCGTTAATGAACATACATCGAGACATTCCATTATCTACAGAACAAATAATTGATGAATTTAGTGTAAAAGTCAGAAGGATGAATTTACGCCTTACTTGAATTTTTTTTTTATGTAACAATAAAGAATAATGATTGAAAATAATACATTTTTATGTATGACATCCCCCCCATACCAAATTCCTGCACACGCCACTAAGTAGTATACGGTTTACGTGGGGTGAATGTCCTGCTACATTCTGCCGTCGCGACAATCTTGCAAAATAAAGTTTGTCTGTAATATGAGTAATAATGAATAATAATTATAAGAATCTTAATGTTATATAACATATAATAAAATATTTTGTATTTTACCTAAAAAAAAAATTGGCACTTTGCATAATGCCTAGGTATTTTATAAAATACCTAGGTTATATGTAAGATAATATTGAAAATCATATGTTTTATTTACATTGACTAAAATGGGTTGGCAATTTATATAATGCATAAGCATTTTGCAAAATACCTGAATTATCCATATTGCCGGTAACATATATATATATGTATATACCGAATGTATGATATAGTATATATACCGAATGTACGATATTTACCATGAATCGGTAATTATTATCAAAAAACAAAATTCAAAAATAATAAATAGGACAATTTACGATACTATTTATACAGCAAGCCGCAAGATCATATGGCGTATAATAAAAATACATTTGTAGGATAGTCAATAGCCCAAAACGAATCAAACACTTATTAAACAGCATTATATTTTATACTTTTATAGTATTTATTATGAACTATACTCTATCAATTTGTCATTAAAAACGGAATAAGAATTATTTATTGTTTAAATGGCATTTACCGAGTGGGCGGTACATACAGAGCGAGCAGAATATACCAAGCAAGCGGTATATGCGGAGTAAGTGGTAATTACTGTGCAAGCGATATATACCGAGCGAGCGTTATTCATCGTCTACACGGTATTTATTGATATACCTATGCCGACATACCGGTATACCGTTAAAAACCGGTATGTAAACACATAACGAATACCGGTGAGCAAATTTCACATACCGCCAACTCTATAATAGACTGTTCAGAAAATAATTCTATAAAAATGTGCGACCGTTCTAGATCTGGTAATCACTTGCGTTCATAATATAAATATTATAAGTCTGTGGTATGATGACAGAAGCTGATATGTACATTTTTTAAACTTTAAAAAAACTTTTAAACTTAAAGGTTTAGAATGTAATAAAAAATAAAATTTAGTATGAAATGCATTAATTCTTTTATAATTGTAATAAATAACCTTTCATGGATTAAAATATTAAGCTATAATACATAAATTATTTTTCAAAAAGTTTATAAATATATGATAATCCAAAAAACAACAAAAAATGACATATCAGCTTATACCATCATACCACAGAAATAATGTTACTTTTCCTTATATCTTTTAATAAATCTTAAAGTGCTTAAAAAATGTCAAACAATTTTTAGCAGTTAATTCTTGAGCTTCACTTTTTGATCTTGCAGAACCATCAATGGTCCAGTCAATAGTGTTAATCACTATTTGCACATAACAATGACTGTTTGCTAAAATTATGAAACGATAATTTTTAAAAATATGGACCAATTATAATAAATCTAAATTTAAATCTAATTATATGGCATACTTGAAGTAGCACCAGTTACATATGACAATGTTAATTCTTCTTCGATCGCAATCTGATCCAAGAAATCGATATAAGATTCAATTTCAAAATTAGTTATTGCTTCCAACTCCTGTCAAAAAAAGAACCAAAAATTCCCACATGGATAGGTATTATAGTAATATAAATAAACTATTTTCCATAAGAATAGACCAATATTGTTTCTATTTTGTGGTCGGATAAAATTCAATCACCTTAAGTTTTCGCATATGAAGATTTGTCGATGATAACAATCGTCTGAAAGCAATGTCGGCTAAAATCGCTTTTTCACTCATCGGTTCATTAATCAATAATCCAACGTCTGGCGATGCGTCGCGAAGATAATTTTTTTCTCCCTGGTCCGACTTGACCAGGATTTCTATTGTTGGCTCAGTCGCCTCTTTCACATCCGTCATGGTACATTTAGACGTTTCCGCAACATTGAGCACTTTAGCCGTCGTGTCATGAACAGCTGGTATAGATGGAAGCACGTCCTTTAAACTTACGGTACACAGATCGGAGGTTTCCTTCGTTTCGTCAAACTCTTTGTACCATTGTTTTTTCCTAAGAAAAAAGACGCATCTTCACGTTTTTTATGTTATTCATTTTTTTTTATGTAGGTAAATACATACTTTACGTCCACGGCGCTAGAAGTGGTTTTAGTGATACACACCGGTAAGATTTCTAATGCTAAAGTAATGGTTGGTATATCCACATCAATCATTGAAGTTATCGATATTTGTCTGTCTACTTTGACTGGACTAGTTAATTTGATGACGTTTTCGAGCATAGTAAATTCGCTCTGCTCCTCTACGGCCAACCTAGCCGGTCGATTGTCTGTGACCTCTACAGAGTCGTATTCATCTGACGTTGAAGCAATAATCTTCTCCGTATGAAGGACATCGACATTGATCTCGCAGTCGTAATCGACATTATTTTTCGGATCGCTGGTTGAAAGTTGCTTTATTTCTTTGATATTGGTTGCCGCTTGGTGTGCTTGAGAGTCCTCCTGCTCTCTGAGTGAAATCGGGTTATATTCTTTCAATTCCGTTGAAACGCTGAGCATATCGACAGCATCCGTGTCGTGGTACTTTTTGTCGAACTGCTCTTCTGAGACCACGGATTTGGCCATCATATCGGATGTGCTGAATATGACTCGGTCCGGTGTTGGTGCAAGTTTAACCATGTCAACTTCACTTATCTGGCCACTCGAAGGATCAAGTAGAAGCAACATCGGTGACTGATCGTAGTGTTGTTTAGTTGATTTCAAGGCATTCATGAAATCAGTCATGTCTTTCTTAAACTGAACAAATGAATTTTTTTCTGCTATCAATTTATCTACTTCATTCTGTAGTCTATTGAAGTGTAAAATTTGAAGCTTGAAGCTGGACAAATTGGCTAAACAAAATCATATAACATAATATATATTAAATACTAGTGAATATAATTGATTTTTGATCTTTGTTTTGATATAGGTACTTTTCATGTTTTTCAATTTATATTCATTTACTTCATTTTGATGACGCAATACATTAATTTTTCGTTTTGTCATAATTTTTTCAACATCTAAGTCGACTAAATATAAGTTATTTAATGTTAAATTAGTAATTATTAATATCTACTTTATTCATATTGAAAAGATTTAAAATGTATACTATAGAAAATAACCTTTCATCTTAATCATTGTCGACGATAAATTAACAATTAAAGCCTTCTGGGCTTCAATTGTGAACTTCATCCGTCTTATATTTTCGTCACTGGTGGTATGTGTTGAGTCCATATTCGTAGCTGAAATTGAAAGTACAATAATTTAAATACATTAAAAATATAAATTTCTATACCGATTGTTATGTGAAGTTGATTGCAAACATTTTATGTATTGCATAAGAAGGAAAATAAACTTAGTAGAGAATTGTCAAATCAAAAACTCAAGAAATTCGAGTATATTAATAAAAATTAATACGTACTTATATAAATGTCAACTGTAAATAAAGCTTAATGAATTCGAATATACGATACAATAGCTATTCAAAGAATAAAGTATTAGACGATAATATTATATTTTTACAAAACTGTTCGATCGACGAATTTTAGTTCAAAACTGATTTGATATATTTGTTTTTAAATATACAAGTACCTAGCCTACGACTTAATTTTCTTTGATTTGATGTTGATTGTATTTCATTTGAGCCAGCTCATAAATAAATATAATTTCAAAATTTCAAAATTTCAAAATTTTAAAATCAATTAAATAGTATTAGATAATTTAACAATGAACTTAAATAAACATGACAAAAGTTAAGATTTTAAATTTAAATTATATACAAATACAGTGGCGTAGCCAGGATTTTTAAATGGGGGGGGGGCTAACTACTTTTTTGGTGGTAAGGTAAGGAGGTAAGGTAAGGGAGGATATGAGAATTCACCCTTAACCCCCCCCCACACCGTCTACCACCAAGTTTCTAAACGTAATTCAAGCATTTTAGTTTAGTTTTAAAAATATTTATTAATATATAATTTATAATAATAATAATAATTTTGGTTTCAGTGTTCAGTCACTTTCTCCACTCTGACAACTGCATCCTCTTAGGCGAATTTCTGGCAAATTCAGATAATATTTCACTTTCATCGAATTGCTCTTTTTTATTTATATTAACCATAGCTAACCCGTTCAGTCTGTTTTTCGACATGGTGCTTCTTAAAAAAATTTTGAAGCGATTAAGTGCTGAAAACGTTCTTTCCGGAGTGAAAGAGGTAACTGGTAACGTGGCGAATAATTGTAAAAGTATTTTAATGTTAGGTCGAAGTTTGGTGCGATGAGAGAGTGAATCAAGAGCAGAATTCGGTTTTGGAATAGTATTTTGACTCCACTGTTGCCTCCATATGAACAGATTAGCTCTGATTGTAGATGATTTATCGTCATACATATTTAAACTGGCCGGAATAAGTCCTTCAAGTGGCATAACATCAATAAGCCTTTGATTCAAACGAGCATCCATTGATTCTATTAAATAGTCAAGATACATTATATATATAAACACGGCCCATGGGGGGCTATAGCCCCCTTAGCCCCCCTTACCTACGCCACTGTACAAATATAAAGCCATACTTTTTTTCTAAATTTGTTAACATTTCGGGGGTAGGGGCTTTAAATACTTAAACCCAGTCTAGGTAAACTGTTCTATTTTCCTAGTAGATTTAATGGCTATTTTTAACCCTTCATTAGTCACCACGGGGTATTTTAACATCCCAGACATATTAAAAACGTTTATTCTTATAGAGGTAAGAACATATGCACCTCCACTGCCGTGATATCATTTTTGATTATTTTATTAATATGATAGCATGATTTTTATCATTATCATTGCAGTATCAAATGATAAACAGTAATTCAAAGTGGAGTCTGGAAATATTTTACCCCAGGTGACTACTTTAGTTTTAGATCAGCGTTTCTCAAACTGTGGGTCGCGACCCCCTAGAGGGTCGTGAGTCAATATTTGGGGGGTCGCGAGAAGTTTTATTAATTATACAGATTGTAAGAAATTTATGTTTTTTTAAATTGTATAAATTATAGACTATAGAACTAATAAAAAATATTTAAATATTTAAATATTAATAATAATAATAATAAAAAACTTTATTATTTTTATTATTATTATTATAAAGTAGTAAATAAGTAATAAAAGAGAAAAAAATTTGTTTTTTAAAATTATTTTTATTGATTCTGTAAATGTAAGACTATGGGGTCGCGATAGATTTCTGGAAGAAAATTTGGGTCGCGGTCCTAAAAAGATTGAGAACCACTGTTTTAGATCATTTGAAAATTAATTAGACGTTTACGAGTACAACGTTAACGTCATTCAACTCATTCGTAAATAATGAGATACAAATTGACGATCTATTATAGATAAGGCGGTATTCTACAGTTTCCGAAAACAGGTCCGTCGTCACGGCAGTTGTAAGACAAGCGGGTTCTTGTGTAGACAATCGTCTATATACGATAAAAATAGAAAAGGGAAAAATAATAGGTATATAATAATTAATAATATAATTTGTTATACAACAACGGCATCTATTGACAATTAAATTGTAGTGGCCAAATACACCTATACCATCGCCTTATCTGTATATTATAAAATCAATGGTATAATTAATACAGAGTTTAACTTGATGCCAAAATAATCTGGGCTGTAAATTCTACTACATCATTCTTTATTGTAGTAATCATATTCGTGAGTGAATAACTTTTTGAATCGTAGATCAAAGAAAGTACACATTTTTAAGGTTTTAATATTTTTAATATTCCCCCAATTTTAGTGATCTTTCATAGAATTCAATAAATTATTAACTAAACCAAATACTAGTAATGTATTGCTTAAATAAATCATGGGTATACGCCTTATTTCATGTAGTAACTATTATATTGTAGGAACCAAAAAACTCACTTATGAACTACACATCCTTAATTATGTCTGTTTGATATCAAATAATTGTTGTTAAATGTTAAGAATTTTCGAAGCAACGTTTTTTCCTATTTCAGGTTTCAGCAAGCATTTGAGAAATAAACATAAGGATATAAAAAAAGCTAAAACTGCTAAACGTAAGTTGTACACATATCATCATTGTAGTGAATATGACATGTGTATAACTTAAATTTAATAATTTTTTTATGTTCTCAAATTTATTTCTTAAATACTTATCGAAATCTGAAATAGAAAAAAACGTTGCCTCGAAAATTTGACAAGAAAACATAATGAAATAAACTTAAAACTTTAAAACACTAAAATACAAAAATGAATTTTTAATTCAAATAAAAAAAAAAAAAAATTGAAATCCTCGTCATCATAATGTCATAGGTTGTGATGTCATGAGTTCTACAAACATTTTTTCCTGCTAAGAAACATTCGTGTATTCGTGTGATATTATCACGAAGCCACGGAAATGTTTAAATATGTCGAATACAGTCAATTTTGGTAGTGGGGATAGTTGCTCGGTTTCTATTCACCTGCTCGCTCATTTTACTGGGACGAGTACTGATTCTTTGAGTTCGCACGGGAAAGTGCTCGGTCGAGAGTGTCAATTCTGTGTAAAATCACATCTAAACGCAGCATAGAAAGAACAGGAAAACATGTTGTCAGTACAGGCACGCTCCAATAGTTCTGTATAAACGATACGAGCAAAAATATTAGATCAATAAAAATTCTCTCTACTCGCACGACGTAATCAAAAACACCACTCCGGAAAATATCATCGGATTTCCCTTAGTGTAAGTGTCGTTTTGGAAATAATAGTTGACAGCACGTTATGGATGTTAAGCTATTTATTATTTTTTACCCTTTCTGCATAGCTAATATCTCAACAAAAATGCTCGGTAATACATGTCAATACATTAACTGTGGAAAATTATCAAGCAGACCCCCAAATTTAAAGTTTTACCGATTCCCCAAAGATGATACATTAAGTATATGGAAAATCAATGCAGGTACTTATTCTAAAACATCATATTATAAATGTAAAAATGTTAAAATTAAAACCAAAATTATTTCAACTATCCCAGGAAACATCAAACTATTATCACTTAATGATAATAAGCTTCATAGTCGATATTTATGTCAAGAACATTTATCCACCGACTCTTTTATGAATATGACCTGTAAAAAATTAACTCCACTGGCAATTCCGTACAATTTCAATGACATTAATGACCAACCTACATCAAGTAATGAGTATATTGTTAATAATTATTATTATTATTCCTATTTAACAAATTGATTTTTTGCTGTTTTTCCACAACAAGTTTATTTAAAAACTATTGTATTGTTACATATTTTATAAAGTACATATTAGTACATATTAGTACATATTATTAGTCAATCAGACAAAATATGAGATTATCCACACGATTATTACAATTAAAATTTGAATGCAAAGATACAAAATATAGTTAGTATATTTTCATGATTTTGACGAATTTTGTCAATATTTGTACTTCAAACTTTTATTAAAAAAAAATATTGTGTCTATATTTTTTAATAACTTTTGAATGACAGTAAGAACAACTAGTGGGAGTACTGGGGTCTTCTATTAAATTTTCAAGTATTTTGTTCACGAGGAATTTTTTTTTATCAACTTTTTAAATTAAATTAAACGGATTGGAGTCTAAAAATCAAAGTTCCATTACTACTCAAAAATGTGTCGTTTAAAACACAAAAAAAAACACACATCATTGTAATATCAATACATTCATCACACCGTTCAGAATCTAAAATCAAATATTTCAAATTCCTATAAATAGCTTAACATTTTGAAAATTAATAGTAAATTCCAACATAAACATTTGATGAAAATTTCATATTCTTACGGTTAATGCTTTTTAAATTATTTTAAAAATTGTTTGATTATACATCGTTAATTTACCCGCAAATTTTCAATATCGTAAAAATATTAATTTTTATTTTTTTTATAATATAGGAGGTAGCTTGACTCCTGATAGTATTGATCTTGAATTTTCAACTCCTACTAAGTACAAAAATTCTAAGACCTATGCACGATTTAAAACTACTGGATGTGTTGAACTTGTATTTCCGAGTCCTTCAAAAGACATAACTACTACACCAAATTCATCTATTAACATATCCGATATTATCGATATGCCAAGTCCACTGTTAAAAAGAAAACAAAAAAATGACATTATTGACACTTCAAAAAAGAAAAAAATTACAAAAAATAATAACAAGGAAACAACAACAAATTAATAGCAAAAAAACTCATATTTTTAAA